TCACAACCGTTCGTCATCTTCATTCCTCCAGCAGGACGAATCTCATGCTCCGAAGATAACATGTACAGAGGACAAAACAGTCGTTCAAAGAATCCTTTTATGGTGTTAAAACCTCTCACACCGCCGCTCCGGCGGTCAAAGCCGAATTTGAAAAAACCTACTCGAAGCAGACTTGCAGTCGCTTCGAAGAAGTTCCTTTTGGGTTGGAACTGAACATGTCTAAAGCTACGAATGCTCCTCCCGTCCAGCGGAGATCATTAGATCAAGCATTACAGCTATGTCGTGGAGCTTAACCGACGACGACACACACAACAAGACCACAGAATGAGAATTTACGACGGGAATTAAAGTGAAGAATTTCCTCCATCAAGAAAAGTTTACGTCGCACTGAGATCCGAATCGTGTTAGAAAGTCAGATTAATAGCAACTGTGACAAAATACTCTCCCTTGAATTAATTAACTACTAATCCTCAGATTAACACATCAACAAATTAATAAATGCATGGATGGATTAATACCATCTACTGCGCCACCCCCCAGAAATATGGAATGCAAGCTGCTTTTCAGCAAACCTCCCAGGTATAGATTTTTATCTGTTGCTCAAAAACTATGGCATTCAAAGTCCGTGCCTTAATACATCACAAGCTACAGGTATTAACGCTGCGTAGCCAAATGAGGGCTAAAGAGTAAATATGACACTTTCGAAATGTGGTGCTGGAGAAGACTTTTGCCAATCGCTTGAAAGGACTATAAACCTCACAAACAGTTCTTACAGCATCTTGGCCCTCAACGTTAACTGGGCGATAATTAGAGTTGTTCAATTCAGAAATTTACATAAGAGCTGAAATTGAGTGACGAGGCCAGTCCCGAGCCAAAGTGCGCACAGAACGATTGATGTGATCAATTTTTGGTGATCAAACGTGGAATAATCGTGACTAGAATGTTCTCCTATGACTACCACTGAGCTCTTCTCGCATGGAAGAATCTCCTGAAGCAATTTCTGATGCCTTGACCATCAACGCTTTAAGGGTCACTCAAATACGAAACCCTCATTATGACAAGCGCCATTCCAAAAGGTAAACATGGCGATAATATCACGTAAACCCGAAAAATTGCAAACATATTGCACAGAATTTAAAATTAGGTCCTTCTTTCTTATTCCTGGAAAACTTCAACAAAGGATCAATATAGTCCGTGCCATGAACAACAAGCCTAAAGTCTAAACCCCGAATCTTGAGGCTTTCAATGAAACTGAATACCTTTCGATTTCTTCGTTTTTCCCAGTCCAGTTCGATTTTCTGTCACCGGCTGTATCACCTGAGCATCAATTGACTTGCTTTTTCGCTTCTCCTTTGATTTTTTCTTCGTGTTTTTCTCCGCGTGCTCTAGAGGCTTTTGAACCATATCTACAAATCACATACGTAATTGGAAATTAACTAAAGTAAATTTAAAATTTAATTTATGAAAGTTAGAAAATGATTAAAAAACAAAGTTATTAAACTCAAGGCACAGCCTCAGAATTAGGACCTGGAAGTTGCTGGTACCA